GAGGCTGAGGGAAAAGGGTGGTCTGGGTAGTTTTAGAGCACAAAGACCCTTTTCTTAAAGCATGCTGTTACTTACCACTACTGGTTTATTATTCCTGCTGCCTTTCTTCTTTTTATTTCCCTGAAATCAACATATTCTGGAGAAGGTAGAGTGCAGATGTGTTTTTGTGACTCAAAGCCATATGAAACCAAAATGAGTCTTTCTCCTGTCATAATTACAAGTAGGGCCTTAGGCTGTGTTTACTGCCTCTAAAATAAACGTGGTGCTTAACTTCTCAGTTGCAACACTTTCCAGCTTTTATGAAAGAAATAAACAAAAATAAAATGTTATTTTAAAAGTAGTGTCAGAAATTAAATAAATTACCCTCAATAGTGCTGTTTTTTTTTTTTTTAAATTGGAGGGACTGTTCAGTAAAATCTCAACAACAAAACCACACCAAAAAAAAAAAAAAGCTTTCTACATTTGGCAATGGTTATATCTCCTCCTGTTAAAACCATTTAGTCTGCTTTTTATATTTTTTTCTCAAATTATATGAATACTCAGTACAATGTTTAGTATAAGTCTAGTCTCTGTTGCCAGGTTCAGTTCCCGGCTCTCCTGTGAACTGGCTGTACAATTTTGGGACAATTACTATCTCCATATCTCAGCTACTTCTTCTGTAAGTGGAGATAATAGTGCCTTACTCATAGGATTATCACGAGGATTAAATGAGTAGAGAAAAGCAGAGCCCTTAAAAAGGGTCTGGCACAAAAGTAGTACATATATATTTGGTTATTATTTTTAAGTCAAGATTATTGAGGTATAATTTGGCACAATTTAAAGTGCGGTAAAGTTAACCCTTTGCAACACATATAATTATGTAATCATCACCACAGTCAAGCTGTGAAGCCCTTCTGTCACCCTCACATGTTCTCTCATGCCCTCTGGAGTCACTGTGTCCCAGCTGCTGGCAGTCACTGATCTGTTTTCTGACCCTATACTTTTGCTTTTCCAGAATGTTGTTCATACAGAAGCATCAGAATCAGGTAGAATGTAGACTTCTGAGTCTGGCTTCTTTCACTGGGAATAGGGATTGGTGGATTTTGCTGTAAAAAGGCAGAGAGTAACTATTTTAGGCCTGCAGAGCATTTGGTCTGTGTTATAATTACTCAACCCTGTTGTAGTCGTGGGCAGGACATAAAAGTATTGATTAGGTTTGACTGTTCCAATAAGACTTTGTTTACAAAATAGATGGCAGCCAAATTTGGGCTGAAGATCATAATTTGTAGAGCCCTGATTTAGCATAATGCATTTGAAGTTCATTTATGTTGTTTATCAGTAGTTTCTTTACATTGCTTATTATTTCATTGCATAGATACCAGTTTAGTTATTCACCAGGTGAAGGACATTGGAGAACTTTTTCCTCCTGGTTGTGGGCAATTTACAATAAAGCTATTGCAAATCTTTTTTGACAGGTTTCTGTGTGGACACAGGTTTTCATTTCTTTTGGGTAATTATCTAGGAGGGTGATTGGTGGGCTGTAAGACAAGTATATGTTTACCTTTTTAAGACACTCCTGGCTGTTTTCCAAAACAGCTGCATCATTTTGCATTTCCAGCAGCAATATACAAGAGTTCAAATTGTGTTGCTCCCTCCTCAGCATTTGTATTTCTTTACCATACTTAGGGATTGAACTCAAGACATTGCACTTGCTAAGCAAGTGTTCTACCTTTTTTTTTTTTTTAATTTTAGTCGTGGTAAAAGACTATGAAGAACACTAGACACCAGACTAAAGATGTTTACTTTTAACCAAAATTAAGTTGGAAGCTCTTCAAGGGTTTTATACATGGAAATGACATTATGTAGGTTTAAAAATGATTACTTTAGCCATGTGGAAAATGATTTGGAAGGAGACAGTGTAAGTGTGTGAAGACCTTTGGGAGGATGTGACATTAGCATAGGGAAGAGGGAAGAAACCTTGACTTGAAAGGTGGCGGTAAGATGAAGAAGTGACAAGATGTGACAATTTTTCAGAAGTTAGAATTGATGGGACTTAGTGATTGATTAGATATGGGACTTAAGAGAGTGGAAGCTGTCAAGGATATTTCCAGAATTTCTGGTACAACCAACCACATGAATAATAGCACTTTTATTGAGATGAAGAATAGTAATAGAGAGAAAAGTTTGAGGCGATAAAGTCATTAGATCAATTTTTGAGGTACACAAAAGACATCCAAATGGAGTTGCTAATTAGGTAGCTTGGTACCAGGGTTTCAAAGAAGGGGAACAAAATGAGAAATCATTAAGGTATAGGGAATATATGAGATTCTGTACACAGAGAGTTCTTAGTGATCTGAAGGAGTGAATAGGACAGCTTAAGAGGAGGTTTGGTGATTAATGCTGTGGTCTACATAAACCTTACAGCCTAAATTCGTTTTGTTAACTCCAACATATAGGCACTCGAGTGACATCTCGAGGAAGCTGAGAGTGATGTGGGGAGGAGGAGAAAGATAGCTGTCTTGAAGATGCTGAGTTGAATGTACAGTTAAGTTTGTGTTCTGTTAGATATAGTAGATTCGTAACCATTAGACTGTCTTGATGGTGATGGTGGGGGGTAGTGTGTATATGAAAATCCAGATTGTAGTGAGTTGGAAAGTGAGTAAGGAACAAGGGAATAAGGAAGCAGGAAATCAAGGGCCTACAGATCTTTCAAAAAATTTTAGGGTGGTTGTCAGAAATATGTGAAAGAGGTGTTTTTATTTGTTAAGATGAGGCAGGTTAGAGCATTCGGGTAAGAAGGTGAGTCAGGGATGAGGGCAGAAGAAGCAGTGTGGCCAATGGAAATGGCTGATGCCCATCAGATCTAGCCTACCTGCTGCAGGTGAAACTCAAATATTCCACTTTAATCTTCTTGGCTAGAGGAGAATACAGAGCTTTTAGTAATACCAGGTTCTAATGAACTGTATCATCACTTGGTCTTTAAACTTATTTCTCAAGTATTTCTAGAAAACTTACCAAGCAGAAAATGTCAGCAGTTCTGTTGATGTGTGAAAATGCTCTGGCGGTTTAGTCACTTGTCAGTCCCATGTCCAAATCCTACCCATCTGTCATGGCGCAGTTGAAACTCTCAAACGAAAGGCTTCCCTCCCTCATCTGAATGGTCATAGGCTGGTGTTGTTTTTTCTCTATTTTGGCATTTGTTCCATCTACATACTTATTATATATGTATATACTGTATGTATGTGTGTTTTCTTTTCCGTTTTCTTTTTGTTATTAAGATGACAGAAGACAAAGACCATAACTAAAAGATGTTCTGTTCTCCATAGCACCTAGCAGTTACATTTATTTAGTTACCTTAAATGTATGTGAAGGTAAACGCAAAGAACTAGTTGTTAGCAGATAATTAGTAGGACTTATAGGCAGAAAAGGATTTTTGTGGTTTGGCATATGAGTTAATAGCCTGAAAAAATTGTAGCACCTGATTATCACCTTTGTTTTTATGATACTTAGTAAAATATGTTTTGAAAGCTCCTTGTTACATGCTGCTAAGGAGAAAGAGAACAATTTTTTGAGACAGGGTCTTGCTACGTGGCTCAGGCTGACCTCATACTCACAATTCTGCCTTGGTCTCCTGAGTAATGGGAAAGCAAATGTGCAGGATAATTGCCTGGTGAAATAAAATTAATTAATAATTAATTAATAATAACTATTGGACAGTACTGTAGTTTACTGATGAATTTAATGTCATTATTCCATTCAGACAGAGGATAACCCAGAAATGCAGAGATGAAAATGTCATGGGGATTTTATTTTTGTTTTACAAGTGAAGAAACAAGAGGCTGGAGGTGTTCCTTAAGTGGTGAAACATTTGCCTAGCAAATCTAAAGCCCTGAGTTCAAACCCCAGTACTGCCAGGGAGGGAAGGAAGGAAAAGAAGAAACCAAGGCCCAAAGAGATGATATGTTAAAAGTCACATTGTTGGTAAACAGGAATGCAAAGATCCAAGCTGAGACCCTCTGACCCTAATCCAGAATTTTCACAATGTACCCTGTGGCTTCTAGATATGTTTTCATGAAATACAATTGGCCCAATGATAATAATTATAAGGGGTAGTTTAGTTTACTTTAACTCAATAAAAAATAGCTTTTCCTGAATTTGTCAGTATAATTTTTGTGTAAAAGCTAAGGGCACTTCTTGAATAAGCTTTGCACTCTGGTCATTCACAGCTGCGTATGTGGCCCTGACAGCAGGATGGGAAAAACACCACCACCATTATGGATTAAAATATTTGAAAAGTATCATTTTTATTGAATATAGCTGATTATTTAAACTGTATAGTAACTTCTGCTAAACAAAAGTTACTTCTTTTTTTGGAGAAAGCATCTTACTAAGTTGCGTAGGTTGGCCTCAAACTTATGGTCTTCTTGCCTTAGACTTCTGACTGTTGGGATTGCAGGCATGAACCACAACTTCTGGTTAACAGATTCTTTTTAATTGCACTCATTTAAGCTTTTAGGCCCCAAACTCTAGATTACATTTTTTGTCATGAGAATTGAAGAATGAGGAACACATACTTTCGGGAAGTTGCATAAAGACATGCAGTGCTCTTTTCTCCTCCTTTTATGTGATGTCAATACTTTTAAATGTTTCCTGAATGGATTGCTGCTGCTACTGGGCAAAATATTTCCTTCTGCTACCCTGTAAGTTGTTTTAGGTAATATATTTTGGAATTGCTGTATGGAGGTGGAAATAATTGAAATTGGCTATGTATAAAAACAAAACAAGCAGTTGAGATATTAAATCTGAAATCAGATGTCCAACTATTTAGTTGAGATTTACAAAAGCAAATACACTTAGCATTTGCTCAAGTCCAAGGCAGTTTCTCCTGTGACTCCATGTGCACAGTGGTCTGGATCTGGTATTCCTTATGTTCTCTACAAATTGCTTCTTTTAGTGTGCTGTAAAGTTTCTTAAGTTTTCATTGCAGATGAACTACTAAAACCAGTATGCTTGTACATAAGGTGAACCTGGCCTATGTGGAAGCAGCAGAATGCTTTGCTGAGCCTGTTAACAGGGAGCCTCCTTCCAGAGAAGCTCAGCTACTGACTTTGCAAAACACGTCTGAATTTGACATCCTTGTTATTGGAGGAGGAGCAACAGGCTGTGGCTGTGCCCTGGATGCCGTCACCAGAGGTGAGTCCTAATGCAGATAACAGTTTCACCTGCCTCCCCCACCATAAATATGGACAGTATGTACTCTACACTGTGAAGTTACATTTCTGTTGGTGTTTTCTAATTTTTGTTCCTTTGAGAAACACTTCTGTGATTTTGAAAATATTGCAAAAATGCAGAAGTTTTAAAATTAAGTGTGCTTTGTTTTCATGTTTATTTAAAAAGGAAACTTTATACTCTTGCAAATTTATTAATGTTTCTAATTTTTTCTAATGCATAATAAAGTACATAGATTTATATGACATAAAAATATTTGTATAGCAGCTGAAATCACAAATTTGCATGAACATAAAGTTTCCTCTTTAATTAAATCACAATTATGCCAATCAAGGGTAGAAAAATATATTAAAATGAAGTAATCCAGTAGAATGATTCTTGTTGCTTATGTATTTCTTAAAATCCTCTCTTGAGAGTCCATCTTATCACATAAGTAGTGGAAAAAACTGTTACTAACATACAGTTCTCTCAGTTGCCCTGTCTACTGTTTGTGAGCTATAGGAAAGACAGGATAAAAGTTCCCCCAAAATGGAAACATGACACACAGAAGGAACCTCAGTGCTCTCACAGAGAATATAGTTCACAAAGTAATCTATTACCTTTACCTTTGGGATTAGTGTAGAGATTGGAGTCAGGGACATCTAGGTACATGTTCTGGCTTGGCTTCATTGAGTGGTGTGTGTGTGTGTGTGTTTGGAAAAATTGCTTAATTTCTCTAAGTTTCTCTGTCTTTCAAATAGGAAAAAATACCTTCTTTGCTGTGAGTGTTACACACACTAACAAAAAGTGCTCTAGATTACTGTGATTTCACAGGACTCATGTTTAGTTTGTGGTCTACATAAACCTTACAGCCTTAATTCTTTTTGTTAGCTCCAAATAATAGTGGGTTCAAAATATAGGCACTGGAATCTACTCTTATACCAAGTTGATGTCTCCAATAATGGAATATAATTGGAGCCAGATTATTCTTAAGCATGCTAAGCAGATGGGAAAAACAGTTACAGTTATCAGTAGGTAATTTGAATTTAGCTTTCTACCCTGGGAGGCCTGGGAAGGAAAGTGGAAAGAGAGGAAACATTTCTAACACAATGAGAGATCTTGTTTGGGACTTTTCCTCAAGGAATTAAAATTTACTGGGTGACAATTTTCTGTATCAAAGAGAATCCTCGCCCCAGGACTATTTAGGAAACTATATTTCTCATATCACCAGTTATTTTCACTATTGTATGAAATATATAGTCATTTTTTATTTCAATTCTGCAAATATTTATTGAGTTCCTACTGCATGCATAGTAATACACAAGGTGAGGACAATCATATCTACAGAGAAGGGTGAGGAGTAAGAAAGCTACTGTTTGGCAGAATATTTTTTTTTTTTTGCTGGCACTGGGATTTGAACTCAGGTCCTCACACTTGTTAGGCAGGCGCTTTTTTTTTTGGTACTGGAGATTTAACCCAGGGAAAGCGTTCTACCTGAGCTGGGACTGCAGCCCTTTTGTTTATATTTTGATTTTGAGATAGTATCTTGCTGACTTTGCCTTTGCTTGCATTGAACTCATGATTCTCCTGCCTCCACCTATGGAGTAGCTGGGATTACAGGTGACCATCACACCCAGCTGGCATAGGCAAAAATTTAAAAGGCAAGTTTGCCTCTTAAAAAAGTTTGTTGAAAGGGTTCCAAACTGAAGAAATATGTGGGAGAAACAGCCTGGTATCAGTGAATGGAGGGATTTGGGGGGCAGGAAGGACAGACTATGACAGAAGTGTGGAGAGACAGGGCTGGGTTTGGTGTGGATGAGGCCTTAGGTTTTATCAAGCAAGCTTCTTGAGATGTTAGAATGTGTTAGGTTGGTGATACAGAAGGAGTAGAGATGGGAACAAACTGTCAAGAGATCTGGAGACAAATGAGATAGAAAAGGGATAACCTGACAGTGCAAAAGGATATAAAGAAGGGAGGTAAGTTGTGCAAGGATTTCCCTCCCCTCCCCTCTTCTTCCCTCCTTTCCATTCCCTCCAGTAGGGTAAAATCCAGAACTGAGAATTGACTGGGCATCAATGATAAAAGGAGAAAATGAGAGAAGATTCAATGGAAGCTCAGGAAATGGTTTAAAGGTAGATCTAGAGCTGAAGTGAGTAGTGGGTAAGAGAAGGCAGAAAGCTTGGATGGGTTGAGGGACCGTGAGTGCAATTAATAGGAAGGCAGTCACAAGAGCTTTGTATCCCCTTTTCCTTTTGTAAAGTCTCAACTAGGCACACTTTCATGCACTTTCTGTACTTATGTCTTTAAAAAATGTAGATAAGATCATATTATAGTTACTTTTTTGCAGTGTTTCTTCTAAATGACATTACATTTAATCAGTCTTCACATGCATGCAATATTCATTCTTTTTAATGGCAAATTCTATTATATTTTCACTTTATGAGCACAGGTTTTAAAAAAATTTTTTTATTGTGCTGGGTAAGGATACATTGTGGCATTTACAAAAGTTTTTACTATATATCAAATATATCATACTTGAATTCAACAACTCCAGTTTTTTGTTTGTTTTCATTTGTGCTATAACTGAAGGAAGAGCCTTGTGCCACATGCTCTACCACTGACCATACCCCCAGTCCAGTTTTTTTAAACAATACTATTTATTAGTCAAATTTTGAACTAACTCTAAAAATATGAAGTCAAGTAAGATGTGACCTTGCCCTTAAAGAGCTTACAATTTATTGATTTTTGTTGAACGAATAACGTTCTTCATTCAGTAGTGATCAGCACTTTGGTTAATCATTAGCAGGAGATTGGGGGTAATGACAGTGATGATGGGAGTGACAATTATGATTTGATTAGCGTTTCCAAAGTGTGACTATTGATCAGGTCTTTAATTTTTATAGCTAAATAGCTAAGAAAATGATATGATTTTAATATCTCTTAATATATTGATTGCTATCTTAAAAATTAGCCAATGTCTTATTTTATATTTGTATAGAATTGTGATTTATAGAAACCTTACTTTTCATCTCTTTTATTATACTGGTAGCTCTCTGGAGTAGTGTTTATAATTAAAATGTGTTAGGAGATGCTGAAGGTAATCTATATTTATCCTTTTACTACAATTTCTGATCATATCAGTGGTCCTCTGAAGTGTGAAATAATCATGGGCATTTGGTTAATGAATTGTGCAGTGTTGCTGTTCATTCATGGAATTTGCTCTTTTATTATATTTGATGCTTCACTTAACAACAAATTTTGCTTTCTCTGCATTTGATATGTTTTTACCAAATTATTCCTGATTATATCCATTAATCTTTAGTCACATTTGACAAAAACAAATTACTGTGATCTTTTAAAGTTACCAGTAATAATTAGATTTTTCAAGACATCAAAGTTTTGGGGGGAAATACTAGATGTTAAAGGGCTTGTATGAAAATGTTTGCATAGCCTTTTGATAAAATACTGTGCCCAAATGTAATTTTGGTAATGGATAAACAAGACTTAAGAGGGAAGAAAAGAAGTCATAGTGTCTTCACAATGAACACTTATTTGCATTCTCATTATCTACATTTTCTTGGGAACCAATTTTCATTTGTTTCATTTGGGAATATTATTTTATATTCATTCACAATTCTCCTCACACTCTCTTGCAGGTCTCTAGGATCAATAGAAAATGCTTCATGGCTTAAAACCTCTGTGTCCAGTTCCTAGTCAGAAAGCACAACCCTGAAGCCCATTTGGGGCACTTGCTTCCAAAGGCAGCAGAATGCAAAAATCTTATCAACATATTCTCTCCCTCAGGAGTCTCCGAGATGTTTTCTTTAATTCTTTATGTTCTTTGATGTGACTTTACCTGTATATATCCAGAATCACTGAGTACATTTTTGGTTTAAAAGTTCAATTAATAAATTTTTATGGCTTTAGTTCAAATTCCAGAGATGATAGCCTCTTGCTGGAGGAAAGCATTAATTGGATTCTCTTGTTTAAAAATGAGTATGCAACTGTAGTTTGTAAATGGTGTCTGGCTAGCAGTTGTTGAATTTCACCCTGATTCTTACAAGTCTGAGGCAGTATAGTCAGCATAGTAAACAAGGACTCAAGCTATGGAAGTACAATGAACTAGGCTCAAAACTTGGTTTCATTGCTTAGGTCCATGACCTTCCACAAGTGTCTTAACCTTACAGAAAGCCTCAAGGTTTTTCAGAATAAGTGAGAGATAATAATAACATTGTTCTACTTAAGTAAAGGTTTGGGAAAGGGAAGTATGTGTATTGCAGAAGAAGAGCAGAATAAGGAGAGTCTTGGAGACTTATTTATTGCATAAATTAAAATTTATCAATGGCAAAAATATAATAAAATTTAGAAAAATATTTACAACAGATCAAATAGGCAAGGCTTGTTTCAAGTGTTTTCAACTTTTCTGTATCCTTTTGTTTTGCATTGTCTATGATGAACAGTATGTGGCAAGATTCCATTTATTTACTTTTATTTTTTATACTTAATAGATTGTATCTTTTATTAGGTAATTTGATCCACTTATTTAGTGAATCAGTGCACATGAGTGCATGTGCATTTATTTGTATTTTTTACCTTTTTTTGTTTTCTTTTCGCTCTTTTCTGTCTATTACATAAGGTCAGACTTTGTATCCTGCTCTATTCCTATGCCTTCAGCTTTGTAGGCAGTCACTACTACCCTGAAGTCCCACCAGGGACTTTGATGGAGCCAACTGAAGTTTCTCATCTGTGTTGATCTTATGGACCTGCAGACCCATCTACTGAGCCAACTGGCACCTTAGTTTGGATGCTGGTGCTCAAGCCATGTCTGTCTTCTTGTATCCTGGCCATGACCTGGAAACAGGTCCTGGACAGTGGTCAGAGTAGCTTGTCAACCTTCTTGTGCAAGAAGCAGAGCCCTGCAATTCAAACACTCATCTGGTTTCTTTACCTTTGCTTGCAATGCATAGTTTGTATTCCTCTTACC